GGGTGGGCACTTGAGTCAAAGCAACCGCGAGCCACCGCCATTCTCGGTTCGCCGACTAACGAAGTACTTCAGGCTGGAACTTGCGGCGGAACTCGCTTGGAGTGACGCCCGTCTCATTCCGGAAGAGCGTGCTGAAGACTTGGCGGCTATTGAACCCACAGGCAAACACCACGTTAGTGATTGGGTCGTTCGTTTCTGCTAACAGCCGCTTTGCTCGCTCCAGGCGAACGCGCCGAATCTCCAACGCAGGCGTCCTTTGAATCGTAGCGCGAAACTTCGCTTCGAGAGTACGTCGAGACACCGCAACGTGAGCCAATACGTCCGCGACATCTATGGGATCTTGTGCATATTCACGTATGTACTTTAGCGCCTCCCTAACATCTTCATCTTCAATAGCGAGCATGTCTGTTGATTGGCGAACGGCAACACCAATCGGCTGCAGAAGGCAGTCTGCCATATCTGGATTGCGGTCTTGCATGATTGAGTCCAACCGAACCGCGGCTTGGTATCCAATCTGTTCCGCGGGTTGAATGACCGCTGAGATGTGTGGGACCGTCGACTCACAAATCAATGGATCGTCATTGACTCCGATTATGGCCACCTCATCCGGAACTTCGAGTCCACAGTCATTAGCAACCTCTACCACCGTTCGTGCTAACTCTGCGTTTGGAGTGCATATGCCAAGGGGCTTCCTGCTCCCTAGTAGGGCTTGCGCCACGCTCTCCACTTCCACCTGGTAGTGCCCCGAGGCGTCGGTCGTGACAACTTCATGGACGGGCAGTTTCAATGCGTCGCAACGATGGCCAGCCGCAGTCACCGTCGATTTGAAGCTTTCGAATCGAATGCGTTCGTTTTCCCATCGTAATTCGCTCAAGAACAGAAAGTTCTTAAGACCACAGTTCAGAAGATGAGTTGCCGCCATACTCCCGATTGCATGGCTATCACAAGCTACGGTAGGCAGCCTCTTGTGGCGGATTCGAGAACCGGCGTTCACTGCAGGCACTGAAGCGCTCAAGAGAGTATCCAGTTGTTGCTGAGAGTTCACTACCGCAATAAGTCCGTCACCCCGCCAATCGCTAACTTGATCCCAGTTCAGCAGCGGATACTGACCATCACCACAGATCTGCCAGCCGCGGTTGACGCGCGCGAACTGATAAACTCCACGCGTTATTCCACGCATGAGCTCTTGGCCGGTCTGCAGAACGAGCCCCACACGGTAGTGCGAAGCTTTTTGGGGTGCCGTGCGGGTCATATCTGCCAACCAGGTACGGCCTGTGGCGGAGCTACGGAAATCGCCATCTCAAAACGGGCTGCGCATATCTTGACACGATTTGCGCTCGCTCGCAAGCGTTCTAATCCGTTAGGCGCCACAATGCCGGACGTCAGAAGTCAGCAGATGCCCTCTGCGTGAAGAGCATCAGACGACGAGAAGGCAAGGATTGGCCTCGGCAAACGGCGGATTTGAGCGGCGGCGTGCGAAGCGAAGAGCACCGTCGCACATCAGAGTCCAGTACGCCTACTCTTCTTTTGTTTTCAATGGACAGATAGTTCAGGATTGTGCCATGAATCGCGAAAAGGTTTTCGTTCGTCCGCCCCAGGTTCGCGGTTTCACCCTTGTTGAACTCTTGGTAGTGATCGCAATTATCGGCGTTCTCATCTCGCTGCTACTTCCCAGTGTACAAGCGGCGAGAGAAGCCGCTCGGCGGACGCAATGTCAAAACCGGTTCCATCAAATGGGGGTTGCATTGCACAACTACCACGCCACTACCAGGGGATTTCCCGAGGGGCAGGTTAATACCCTATCCCCCTACTATCACGCTCCAGGGTGGGGGGCAAAGCTCCTGCCCTACCTTGAGGAGTCAGCTGCATTCGAAGGATTTCAAGACGGCACTAAGGGGAACATCGTCGATCCGGGCACTCGCGAGGTTGGGGGATTGCTCATGGAAGCTTTCTTATGTCCCAGCGATCCAACCGAGTCGACGTGGGTCGAGGTTTCTAGCGGATTCAGCAACGGTGGTGCGCCAAACGAAGACTACCGGCGCAGCAATATGGCCGGTGTTGCAGGTCCATTTCCGTGGATCGAACAGGGATCCGTATCGAAAGGACGCAAGGACTGTCGCGGCATGTTGATAAATCTTCGTGCCCTCAAGGTCAAAGACTGTACCGACGGCACGAGTAGCACGATGATGGTTGGAGAAGTTACAGGGGGCCGGGGGGTGCACCCTCAAACCGGTGAAGCTTGGATAGGACACACCTGGATTGGCTGGAACCTGCAGGACGTAAGCCGCGGCATCAATCCATTCGGATCGGTCCCAGGAGGACGCAACGACTCCGCAGACCCCTTCGATGGTGACGGGGGAAACCGCCACCAAGAGTTTTATACCGAAACCGGCTTCTCGAGCTTTCATCCAGGCGGCTGCCATTTCCTGTTTACAGATGGTAGTGTCCGCTACCTGATTGAAGACACAAACCAGGATGTCCTGCACGCGCTCTCAACCCGTGCCGACGGCGAGACGATCAACGGCGACACAGTCTCGGGCCTAGTTGGCGAGTACACCGGGCCACCGGTTCGATAAGAGTTTGTGCGGTTTGTGCGGCTGATGTGGGCGCCCATGCGTTCGTCCATCTTGCCGATTTTCCCTCTAGCCATTAGGTATCAAAAGAATGCGGATAAGGCCAGAGTGTAGAATAGTCGCCAGCATGCTCTTGACCGTTCTGTTCATTGGGTGTGGGAAGTCGAGCGACTTGCATAAGGTGACAGTGGAAGGCAAGGTTTACTTTGACGGAGAGCCCATAGCGAACGGCGAGATCAGATTCCGACCAGTAGAGGGGACACCAGGGCCGGTTTCGGGCGCGCCTATTGTGGACGGGCACTACCGCGCCGTCGCCAAGGGTGGAGTGCCAGTCGGCAAGCAACTTGTGCAGATCGAAGCCTACGACGTATCGAGCGGTAGCTCTTCGTCCGAAGACATGGTTACGGGGGGGCGAGTTGGCGCGCGTGTTAACTACCTACCGAGCAAGTATCACAGTAGTAGCCAACTAACGATCAACGTAACTGGCGATAAGAAGGTTATGACACAGGACTTTGATCTCGCGAAGTAGACTATCGCCTTGGTCCGGTGACGGTGGGATTCTCGACGCTTGAGGTGACTCATGTTGCAGGTGTTCATGTCTATCGGTTGCTGCTCTCTTGCTATCCTCAAAGCTCATATCTTTTAAGCCACCGACAGTGGCGGCAAAAGACTCTCTTAAGAACAAGGCGTGTAGATGCCCATATCGCTAGTCGCTCCTCCTCCGACCTCGTTTGATTCGAGGGGCAACATTGACTTATCGCAGATCGACAAGCTGGCTGCGCATTTGAGACAGTCTGGTGTTTCGGGTGTGTTTCTTTGCGGTTCGACTGGCGAAGGTATGTCGCTCTCGGTTGGCGAACGAAAAGAAATTGCGGAAGCTTGGTCTGAAGTTGCACCGGTTCACGGACTAAAGACGATCGCTCAAGTCGGTGCGAACAGCCAAAGAGATGCGATCGACCTAGCGGACCATGCTGCTCGCTTAGGTGTCGATGCTGTGTCTGCGCACGCCCCTTCCTACTTTCGCCCAGCAACAGTTGACCAGTTGATCGGCTTTCTAGCTCCTATCGCAGCGGCTGCCGGTACTACACCGTTCTACTTTTACGACATTCCACAGCTTACCGGAGTCGACCTGCCGACCGATTCCTTCTTGAGCCGCGCGACTTCGCGAATCCCCTCTCTAGGCGGCGTGAAGTACACGAACCAGAATCTGGCTTTGTTGCAAAAGTGTCTGGGAGAAGAAAGCGGTCGATTCAAAGTGTACTTCGGATATGACGAAGCACTCTTGGCTGGCTACGCATTAGGAGTCCGGAACGCCATAGGCAGCACGTACAATTACCTTGCTCCCGTGGCATTGCGGATAGTGCAGGCATTTGACAGCAACGATTTCGATACTGCTCGTCAGATGCAGGCGAAGATTGTGGAAACGGTCGACATCTTGTCCGACTATGGATACTTGGCCGCCGCCAAAGTCGCGCTCCAGGTGTTCGACATTGACTGCGGAACAGTTCGAGAGCCGTTGCAGCGACTGGACAAGCAGCAAAGGGGCGAGCTTCTTGACCGTCTGCGGGCGATTGGATTTCCATTCGGATCTCTTGACGGTCGCCAGGCTGCGTCTAGCAGCCCGACGATTTCAAAGCCTCACTGGGCGCATCGACCGGTGTCCTCAGCGGACGAACGGCTGTAACTCGAATGCTGATCGTTTCGCGTGAACGATACGGCCCGATCGGTTCCGCCGTTGTTGGAGCTTCAGATTCAGCGCCATGACCAGCCGACACCGCGCAGTTATCGTAACCGCC